GTCAACAAAGCGACCGTTCATATTCTACGGAGATGCAAAGGCTGTAAAACCTGACAAGACTCATACATCGCGGATATCAGCAGTTGTTGCGACCTATCGACCTACTCTGGAACGTGAAGGCCTCCCGGGACCAACTCATAGTGGAAGACTTGGATTGGTTGCATGGCGGCGTTGCACATGAAGAAATACCGATGGACAAACGCAACACCTACCACGACTGGTTCGACCACTTGCGGAGCATGGGCGAGCGCAATGCATTCAACCTAACGGGGAAGATATCTCTCCGAGCACGAGCAGCCCAGATGGAACAATTTCGGCACGTGCTCTGGCAGCGTCAATTGCATCAAATGGCACGAGCTGGTGGTGATCGGATACCACCCTTTGGTACTGCGGCGGCGAGAGAGCATGGCGAGGCTTTTATCTGCTATGAATGCGGCGAGCTCCTGGCATCACATGGAGCATGGAAGCTGCGCCAGACAGCGCAGCATGCGCGGCAAGGCGACGACCGACTCATACGTGGCACGTTGTGTATGAAGTGTGGGAAAGTTTTCCGCCTCCGTGCAGCATTGTTACGATATGTAAAATACCGCTGCCCACGTTGCCTTGCATGCGATCGGGCCTTCAGTGCCCCAATGGGCGATGCAGGGCTGGCGGGGGCTGATGACGTGCTTGCAAAAGACAGCCAGCCGGAAGCAGCAAGGATTCCGAGCTGGCAAGGCTTTCATTCACCGACGTCAGCAGATCCCTACTGGGCAACATCAGCGGTGCATATCTCTAGTGAGTTCATCAACGACATAATCCCGATCTTGCGAGGAAGTCCAGACGACGACGCGCAGGATAATATCGCCAATCTACCCACATGTGCTAATATGAAGGCGCAGTACGTACTCCACTTGTCCGATGGGCACTGCAGGGAGAAATACTTACAACACCACATAGAGCAGATGGCAACAACCATGTACACTACGGTCATTGTGCTTTCGATCAATGGCCAACCGAGACCAGCCTGCGGAGACATCACCAAACACGAGGACGCGGATTTCTAGATGGCGGCGCTGGCGCAAGGGCTGATCATTGCAGTGCTGGGCGGCCCACCCTGTGGATCCTGGGGCCCAGCGTGCCGGCGAGATGATGAATGGCGAGGCAGGCGGCATCATCCCCTGCGCTCGAGAAGTCGCCCATAGGGAGTTGCCTGCCTCGCGAAGTCCGAGAGGCAGCAGGTCGATCACGGCAATGCGCTCATCAGAGACTGCGCGAAGCTGTGGTTGGCGGCCAAGCGCGCAGGCATCCCGTGCAGCTTTGCACTGCCTGCGGCCCTGCTTGGGCGGCCGTCGTGGCCCAACGCATGGGAGGTCCCGAGCTGCTTTGGCTCAAGAGCCTCGAGGACGCCGACTACCTCGCGTTCGTGCAGGACGGGGTGCCGACCACGGGCTGCACGACGGCCAACATGCAGTAAAGCCAGGAGATAAAGCAAGAGTCTGACGCCCGCGATGCCTCCCCGCTCAGGATCCCCTGTTCCTCCTTCTGTCCCCTCTTTGCCAGGGCCCTGGTCGCCAAATGGTCCAGGGACCTGATCCCAGGCTGGGACGCCTGGCCTCTTCCCGAGGCCTTCGCCAAAGATTTCGTCCCCTTCGACCCCTTTTCCGAGGTTAGGTGGGACGCCGAGGGCCGGTGACCTGGCTGTCTGGTTTGGGTCCTGGGTCCCGTCCTTGGGGCTATCGGTCACCGCGGCCTCGGGATCCGGGTCGCCTCCCTGTGCGTAGTACCTGTGGTCCAGGGTGTGGACACCCCCCCCCCTCCCTGCGTGGCGACGATGGCAGCGACCACATCACCTCGCACGTCGACGACGCCTTCTCCCTCCGCCTCGTGCACGGCCAGACCGAGCAGGCCCGCGGTTACGCAGGTCAGCGGAGAGAGCGCAGGGTTGGAGGTAGAAGCGCTGTAGAGCGCGAGACGAGAAACGAGAAAACGAAGAGGAGGAGGGGGAGGAGGAGGAGGAGGAGGAGGAGGGGGAGGAGGAGGAGGAGGAGGAGGAGGAGGAGGAGGAGGAGGAGGAGGAGGAGGAGGAGGAGGAGGAGGAGGAGGAGGAGGAGGAGGAGGAGGAGGAGGAGAGGAGGAGGAGGAGGAGGAGGAGGAGGAGGAGGGAGGAGGAGGAGAGGAGGAGGAGAGGGATGAGGAGGAGGGAGGAGGAGGAGGAGGAGGGGAGGAGGAGGAGGAGGAGGAGGAGGAGGAGGGAGGAGGAGGAGAGGAGGAGGAGGAGGAGGAGGAGGAGGAGGAGGAGGAGGAGGAGGAGGAGGAGGAGGAGGAGGAGGAGGAGGAGGAGGAGGAGGAGGAGGAGGAGGAGGAGGAGGAGGAGGAGGGAGGAGGAGGAGGAGGAGGAGGAGGAGGAGGAGGAGGAGGAGGAGGAGGAGGAGGAGGAGGAGGAGGGGGAGGAGGAGGATGAGGAGGAGGAGGAGGAGGAGGAGGAGGAGGAGGAGGAGGAGAGGAGGAGGGGGAGGAG